ATGGGGCTGCATCTCTACCACTGCCTGGGGAAGATGCCATACAAGATATTGCTGAGAACCCCCAGAAAACACTCCCACCAACATTATTTCCTCTAGACCTGTAACTAGAATCAAGTTTCAGAAAGCTCCTAAAGGTGAGGCTCAGATGATGACTCAGGTGTGCTGTACTCATAAAAATGTGCTCAAGTTTTCTAATACAAGCTGAAGCCTGGGTAATATCCCTGTGAATGGTTACTAAGGGTTTGGGATACTGGTGCAAGGAATGTAACATTAGGCCAGTCTGAATTTCTTGATATGGGGTCCCTAAGCACAGATTCTTTCTTCAATGTCTCAGCAAGAGAGGATAAGAGAGGATCTAATTGTCTATTTGGTTGGTTCGCTGAAGCATGGACTGCCAGATGGCCTAGATTAGACGAACTTGAGGTGCCTGACCTACCATGGTACCCTGTAGAAGAAGGCATCCAGAAGCTTCGGGAAATTGGTATGTTGGAATGGATCTATCAGAATAATCCCATAGGCCCCAAAAGGGAGTGTCCTGAGGACATACCTTCCACACAACCATAAGGAACAAGTTTGTGAAGTGGGCCCTAGCATCTCTGAAGACTCCTGTGATTGCTATTTTATGTGCACCAGGATTAACAGTGGGCACTGCCCTAAGTGAACTCCAACATTTGCTTTCAATGGGGATGATTGGGCCTTGTGGTGGTAGAGGGCAGGTGTTAGCACTGGATTAACAGAGACAGCGTGGACATGTTTATCCTAATGGACAGCAAGTCTTCCATAGTAATCAAAGTAACCTGTCTCATGTGGACTTATGGCATTGGCTTCTTAGCCATGGTGTCCCTAGGAGTGAAATACATGAGAAACCTACTAAATATTTAGGTGATCTATACAGGTGGAAGAATGCTAGACCCGGTGAACAGCAGAATAGAGAGTCACGACCACGCAATCATTTCCCAGACCTGAGCCAGTTTACAGACCCACAACCCCTTGAAGGAGGGGAACACCAGGTCCCTTTGAAGAAGGATCCTGTTACATCACTGAAGGTTTATACTGTTAGTCTTTCATTTCTTCTGCCATTGGTTAATGCAGTGGTTCTCAACCTGTGGGTTGCAACCCCTTTGGGGGTCAAATGACCCTTTCAAAGGGGTCATCTAATTCATAACAGTAGCAAAATTACAGTTATGAAGTAGCAACGAAAATAATTTTATGGTTGTGGGGTCACCACAACATGAGGAACTGAATTAAAGAGCCGCAGCATTAGGAAGATTGAGAACCACTGGGTTAAAAAATCCCTTCACTGTGTGCCTCTAGCCTATGAATGACCTGTACAACTGATCATCGTACTGTTTCCTCTGCCTTTGTAAATCCTGCCTTCCCTCTTAGAACCGTTGTTCTTTGACTTTCAGACCAATGACACCTTCAGATTCTTGAGGTTAAAAAAGTAACCTTAGGTATTTGTTAATCTGAACAGAATTTGTCAACAACCATAGAGCTTGGTGCTTTAGATCCCACTTTCTTTTATTTTAGGTCATCATTCAACCTTGGGAGCCCCTGTTTCTCTACCCTGAAACAATTTGTCTTTCTCGAGAGCTCAGAGTACACCTGGCTCCAGTTGATTTCTGTCTTA